AGCAGGCATTTATGGCTGACCACAGCTAGACTCATTTATTCCGCAATATTGATTGCAGGTCTGCTCTGGGCCAGAACTGTGCTAGGCACCAAGAACTCAAAGGTATCTGTACTCCTGCAGCTTACAGACTAAGGGGAAAGAGTTAAACTGATGACTAAAATTTAAAGAATTACAAACTGAGACCAGGAGCGGTGGCCCATGCCTGTAATCCCAGCACTTTGGGAGGTCAAGGCAGGTGGATCACCTGAGGTCAGGAGTTTGAGACCAGCCTGGCTAACATGGTGAAGGCCCATCTCTATCAAAAATACAAAATCAGCTGGGCGATGTGGTGGGCACCTGTAATCCCAGCTACTTGGGAGGCTGAGGCAAGAGAATCACTTGAACCCAGGAGGCAGAGGTTGCAGTGAGCCGAAGTTGTGCCATTGCACTCCAGCCTGGGCAAAAAGAGGGAACCTCTGTCTCAAAAAATAAAAAAATAAAGAATTGCATACTGAGATAAAGGATGTAAAGAGAAAGATTGTGTTATGAGACTCTACAGTAGGGGAGCCTGGCCTTGTGTAAGACTAGGGGAGGGCTTCCCTGAGGAAGTGATGTTTAGGGGTCTAAAGAAGTAAATTAGGCAAAGTGGCAATAATGAGGAAGAGAAGAGGAAGAGAGAGTCAAGCAAATGAAACAATATGTGGAAAGGCTCTGAGGCTGGAGCTCAGATAGTCAGGGGGAAATGGTCAAAGATTAAAGTGGACAGAGAGGCCTGGCCAGGGCCTTTGGGGTCTGGATTTTGGTCTTCATCTTGAGGGCAAGGGTGGCTATTGAAAGCTTTTAAGCAAAAGATCAACTTCAAGGAGAAGCAATTGGTGGAATACGCATCTTGAAACCATCCCCCTAGATACAGTGTGGAGAAAGGACTGGAGGGAGGCTGAAGTAGAAGAGAGGAAATCAATTAGAAATGGGCCAGGCCAGGCCGGGTGCGGTGGCTCACGCCTGTAATCCCACCACTTTGGGAGGCCGAGGCAGGCGGATCACCTGAGGTCAGGAGTTGGAGACCAGCCTGACCAACATGGAGAAACCCCGTCTCTATAAAAATACAAAATTAGCCAGACGTGGTGGCACATGCCTGTAATCCCAGCTACTCAGGAGGCTGAGTCAGGAGAATCGCTTGAACTCTGGAGGTGGAGGTTGCAATGAGTCGAGATGGCACCATTGCACTCTAGCCTGGGCAACAAGAGTGAAACTCCATCTAAAAAAAAAAAAAAAGAAAGAAAGAGAGGAAGGAAGGAAGGAAACAAGGAAGAAAGGAAAGGAAAGGAAAGGAAGAAAGGGGCCAGGTCAAAAATGAGGGGGCTCAGGTTAGGAAGGTGACAACAGGGTGAGGAGAAGTGCACAGATTTCAGATAAATATAAAAGGCAACATAGGAAGACTTGGTGATGAATCGGACTGGGTAGGGGGAGGGATAAGAAGGAGTCTCTGGTTTCTGTTGGTGCAGTGGGAGGAAGCCCATCCCAGAGGACAAACGATGGTGAGGCTGCAGGTTCGGTGCGGGCACAGGAGGGCTGGGTTGGACAAGCTGGTCTGAGCTGCGTGTGAGTCACCCAAAGGCAGATGTTGAGACATCAGTCACAGAACCCTGGCCCATCTTGACAGTCTCACCGCTGAGTATCAGGGCTGTCAGGTCAATCAGTTTTAACGGTCCATCTTGGAAAAGCCCTGGAGTCCTCACTGGGGATGGAAAGGTGACAGGCTCTTTCCCTGGCTTCAAGGACCTCACAGTTTAGTAGGTAGGTAGAGGAAGAAGCATAATTTCCATTCACTGTGATGGAGGAAGTGGAGGAGTTTCGGGAGCAGGAAACAGCCCTTAGTTCTACCTGGGAGCCCAGGTCAGCAACCTGTGGCCATCTGCCGCCACGTGAGACTACCCAGCATTTGCAGAAGGCTCCTGCTTCATGCCTTTGCCCCAGCACCCGTTCCCTCTTTTTTGAGCACCCTTGTCCTGATATCCACCTGTATATATCCTACGCATCCTCAAAACCTATCCCAATGCTATTATCTTCATGAAGCCTTCCTAGGTTCTCCCCGTTGCTGTCAGCCTTCCTACTGTACCCCCACACTGTGTACGTCTCAGCACGCTTGCCACACGTAGCAACTGCGGCATGCTTCCTCGTGCCCAAGTCTGGCTCCCCACTAGATGGAGAGTTCTTCAGGGCAGAGGTGTGCTGCTTCTGTGTTTCCAGAGCCGGGAACTGAGCGGGTACAGCGCAGTCGCCGCATAGGCCAAGTAAAGGGGGCGTTTTCTCTGCGGTCGTTGGAAACACTTGAGCATGCTCAGTGTCGCCCATTAGTCGCTAGAACCAGTCCCCTCACCCACTACTCTCCAACCTTCTGATGCTCCCTCACTTTGGGAGTCTTTAACCTTTCAGGTTATTCTCTCCTTCCCCATTCCTCGCCCCGCAGCCTTCATTTCCCAACGGCCGTACCCTCACGCTCCTTTCAGCGGAGAAATAGACCGCGCTTTGTGCGGAAGCTGTCAGCGAGCTGGGGTCCAGTCTCCTTTAAGAGTGATCCGCGAGGGGGTGTGGCTTGCCGAGAGCAGGCCCGAAAGGGGGTGCGGCTCCTTTAGGTATCTGCGGGCCCGAGGCGCGGAGGCCCCGGGCCAGCAGGCAGGGGCGCGGTCGGTCTCAGAGCAGCGGCACCGCCCGCAGCGTCCCGGTTCCTCGAAGCGGGGCGCGTCCGCTTTAATCGGGAGAGAGATGTAGGGGCACGGGCGTTACATCAGCCGCCACGTGTGGGCCTCAGCTGGCGTGGAGGCGGCGGCCCCGCCCCCGGCCCCTGCGGTGGAAAAGTACCGGGGCGCCGAGGTCCCCGCCCCACGGCCCCGCCCCCGGGCCGGCTCCGGCCCCTCCCGGCCCTCGGGGCAAGCCCCACTCTCCCGCCCGGCCCCGCCGCCGGCTCGCGATCTGCAGTGGCTGCCGGGTGCGGAGCGCCGGCCGGGGGTGGGCGCCCAGGGCTGCTAGGCCCCTGCCCTCACCTGCGGCCGCCCGGCCCCGCCCTAGGCGTGCCGGTAATGAGGGTTGGGGTGGGGAGGGCACGGATTCTTTCCAGGGTAGCATCCCCCAAAGAACTCCTCGCTCGCTCGCAGTCCCTTCCCAAAGCCGCGGCCAGAGCGCGGACAAAGAGAGGCTGAGTGCGCCAGGACTCTCCCGCGCGGCTTCCCGGGTCCCGCGAGCGCACGGGCACAGGCACCGGCACCGGCACCGGGAGGGCAGATAGGGAGGCAGGCCGGCTGGAGGGACCAGACAGGCGGCCAGGCTGGCGGGAGCTGAGAGGCGTTGGAGCGCGCGGGAGCCCGCACGCTAGGCGCAGGCACGGCCGATTATCGACCCCCTCAGGCCCCCAGAGCGCAGAACCACTGGCTCCCCGGACGGACCGTGCCACGCTCTGGCTCCGGCGCTACCCGCACAGCCTGCGCCCGCCGCCCCCGATCTAACCGGCGTCTGGCGCCCCCCCCCACCCCACGCAGGAGCTCCCCCCGCTTCCCTCTCCCTCCCGCTTCAGCTCCTTGGTGACAGCGGTGACACCCAGCCGCGCGCACCTACCCCGACCTTTGCGGCGAGACAGACATCCCGGTGCGTGCACCCACACTCTTACCCACAGATGCCCGCATACATGCGCGATCACACACACACACACACACACACATATATGCACACGCTGGTCCTGGGGCTCAGCCCCGCGTCGGCTCAGACCGACGGCAGGACCGACGGAGGCGCGGGCCCCAGCGTTCCCTTCCCCCAGCCCCCTTACCATGCTGCAGCCCCCTGCCCAGGCGTGCTGGGTCCGCACCGCGGTGCGCCCAGGTGGCTTTCTTAAAGTGAAAGTTGCATCAGCTTCCCGAGGCTCTGTGCCGCGCCCGCCCCGCCGCGCCGCTCGCAGCTCTTCCACAGCCTGTTGTGTTTTGGTTTCGGGGAGGCGGGGGCTAAGAGTTTGGTGAAAGTTTGAAGAGTGGAGAAGGCTTGGGAGATCTAGCCAAGTCCCTCCCCTACCCGAAGAGCTCCCCTGGCCGTCCTCCCCTCTCCATCCCATCCCCTCCCCCCGTGCAGACTTCTCAGGCTCCTCCTCCCAGGGAATAAAATTACAAGTCTCTCCAGCTTTCAGATGATTGATCCCCACGAACCCCCGGTGGCTCCACAAAGGAGCCCCCTTCTCCGCCCCTGCCTCGCTGCCCTCCAGCTGGGGCCCTTGAGCAAGCAGATGTGGTCCCCTTCGGGCTAGGGTGGAATAAAGCCAGAAGGCCTGGGGCACTTTGGGGGGCTGAGGCTGGAGTTAGCCCTCCAGGCCCCTGGCCTTCTGCGCCTGCGTTTCCCCTAGAGAGAAGTCAGAGCAAATTCCATTCCCTTTGGAGCAGAGCCGCTAGAGACTGTGGGCACTGCTGGGTAAGGCCTAGGTCCTACTCCTTGGAACTAGAGGAGCCCTTTCTCAAATTTCCCTCCTGGACCACCGGCTTGGTCAGCTCTACTTTTGAGGTGGTGTTACAGGGGCTGCAGACACCAACCTGGGATCCCTCCTCCTTCCATGGTGAGACAGACCTGGGTTACAATCTCAGCTAAAAAAAAAGTCTTTGCCAAAAGGAGCATTGTGAGCCTCGGTTTCCTCCACTGTGAAATGGAGAGAAGGGGCTAAGGAAATGCATGTGTGTGTATGTAAAGCCCGTTGCTCCAGGCTGCCTCTGGGGAGGGGTGCCTGGCATGTGGAATGAGGCTCCCACATTTGCATACCTTGTGAGAGCCACCACCTTTCAGGGAAAGTGGCCAGTTAGTACTGTCAGAGGAACTGGTTTTTGCCCCAACCTGAGTGGGGCATCTGCTCAGGGAAGGGGCCCAACCTACAGAGGCAATTTCTACTTTGGACCCTGAGTCCTCACCATTTTCTGGTCATGAAACAGTTTAATTTTTTTCCTTGGGACTGTCAGCCCCCAATACATGCCAAACTCACGTGAAACCAATTGTTGAGTGAGATTGCAGTTTATTAATTTATCAGAGGCACTGAACAAGATAACAGGCATCAAGCCCAGGCATTCCCTGCAATGCAAGCTCTTTCAGGCCACACGCAGTCCATTCCACAAACCTTTCTCAGAGCCAAAGTACAAAGACAGCTCTCTATTGTCTCCTATTCACATTGGACTCCTGATCAGATCTGGGAAGACACCTTAGTCTTATCAGCAAGATTATTTTCATTTTCACTTTGTCCCCAAACCTAGTAGATATAGTATGCTTGGGATTTTTATTCTACAAACCAAGTGCAGGTGTTTCTTGTGTGAGTTGTGTGCACACACACCTGGATCTGGGCAACCTGTTGTGTCTGTGCCCCCAGACGCCTGAGCCCCTGATTGTGTATTTGTGTAGGTACATCTGTGGAAGACTGTGTGCACTGCAGCAGGTCTGTGTAGTTGTGTGTGTGCGCAAATCCTGGGACTGGGCAGATGGGGTCCAAGCCCTCTACATCTCTCCTGCCAGGACTTAACTTCCTCCATAAATTGTTTTTAGGATCTTCCTCCTTGCCTCCTCCCTGGGGCTCATCAAAAGGGATACCACCCCAGGGAAGGTAGATGGAGGATGTTGAAGAGGCCCCCAAGTAGAGGAAGGCGGACAAGGAAGAGTATGAAGGGGAAAAGGCCTCCCTCCTTCTCCCTTCCAGCAGTAGGCTGGGCTGGGGACAGGCCTAGAAGAGGGCACTGAGCGCTAAGAACACAGTGAAGATTCTGAGAGTTTTCATGGCTCAGGGAATCCATATGAAGGGAGGCAGGTGTGGGGTGCTGAGAGCAAGATTCCAGGATGCCCTCAGGCCTAGGGGCTTGGGGCCTGGGCAGTTAGAAGAGAGGGGGATGGGTGCTCAGGGGACAGCCCTCTGAGGCTCCGTCAGAAAGAAGAAGGCTTGGGGACTAACCTGGGGACAGGGAGGCAGCCTAGCACTTTAGCCCATGCGGTGAAGAAAAGAGAACATTTTCCTTGGAGTGTTTAGGAAGATTGGGGATGTTGGCCAGAGGGCTTTATTAAACTAACACTGGCAGAGCACAAAGTCTATTTGTATACATAGAAACAGATTCATGGATGTGTGTTTTACCCACCTTGACCCAGAAAGAGCTTCAGGAAACCGCACAGTGAGCTGTGTCCTGAGGAGACACTTGTGAGAAAGATTCTGGTTTGAAAAGCCATCTCCTTGAGACAGGGACTAGAGAGGCTGTTTTTTCCAATCAGAATGAGGCCCAAAGGAGGCAGGTTTGGGCCCAGCCCAGGTCAGAGCTGGGATAGCCTCCGTCCCTGGCTGTGAGCCCCTGGCTCTGAGCAGCTGGCCCGCAGGCTGGGAAGGGCATGGCCAGCCTGGGCCACTGTGGGGCAAGCAGGGGGATCAGGACTGAGGACAGACTGGGGCGGGGGAGGGGATGGGGGGACTGATGGGGTCAGCCAGTTTGACTGGCCTGCTTCTTCCTGGGGCAGGGCTGCAGCGGGCTGGGGGGCCCACCCACTGCAGGCTGAGATGTGTCTCAGGAGCCTCCAGTTACCGCAGCCAGTGGAGCTATTTCCTGGGAGGGCTGCATCCAGCGTCAGAGCCCCCAGGGCTGGCTGGTTTCCTCCAGTGGTGTCATCAGCCTGCAGGATCAAGGCCTCTGTTTTGGGATGCACGTAAGTCAGTTTAGGTGTGTGTCTAGTAGGAATACGAATAATGCCAGACTTGGGCCACTTCTGGTGGTCACTGCAAGAGCTGGGAGCACTGGGCACCTTGATGGATGGGTGCTGGGGACCTGCTGAGAAGGTGGGGGAAGGTGGACGTTGCCTATAGTTGAAGCCAGGCATGGCTAGGGGTCTCCACCTCCTTAGAACCCCAGCCTCAGTAGCCGGGAAGCATTACTGGGAAGTGCCTGCCTGGGCTCTGCTCTCAGATTCCTCCTTTCTTGAACCTGGAGCCCAGTGGCCAGTGTCTGGCACCTCCCCTGCCCTGTCCCAACGCAGAGAAGCAGGTTAGATTGGTTCCAGATCCGAGAGCTGTCTCTGGGGCTCCAGGTACCCCTTAGGCCATCCTATTGTGGTTTCTTTCCCCCTGAAACCCTGCTACCCCAGCCCCGCCACCCCAGCTCCGGGACAGCATAAGCTAATCATGGGGCTCAGAACAGGGGTTCCAGGCTGGACCTCCGTGGCTCCAGGTAGAATCAGGCATATGGACAGGAAGTACTGACTTTGGCCTTGTCCAAGGGGCAGCCCCAATCTCAGGAGCTTTGAACACCCAGACTCCTAAATAGCTTTGAGCTCCCGAAGTCCCGAATTCCCAATGTCAGGGGTGCCAGAGCACCTAACACTGTAAAGGACCCAAACCCCAGAGCCCCCAGTACCCCATTCCCGGGGGCCTGGGGTACCTAACATCCAGACCACCCCATGTTCATAACATCCCATTTTCAGAGTGCCAGTGTTCCAGTTCACTGGACCTAGAGGGAGGGAGTGGGGTCCCTGCATTACCAAGGTCCCTTCAATGACCTATGATCTGAGGAGTGGCCGTGACTGAAGTTGGGGCTGGGGTAGTGCTGGCAGCTTCCTCGATGCTCCCATCCTGGGTCTGGAGAGGTCGAGCAGACTTGCAGGTGGGATGGCGTTTCCTCTGGCCTCAGCCCGGTCACAGGCCCTGTGGCATTTAATGTCCATTTATTCACTCACCAAATATTAGTGCACATCTGCCATGTGCTGGGAATTGAGCTACTCTCTGGGAGTACAACCGTGAGAGAGAAGGGGTTCCTGTTCTCCCAGATGGGACAGGTGATGACATTGTGCCTGTGCTGTTATGTCAGTGTGGCTCAGCCGTCTGTGGTCCATGTGTGGCTGCGGGCATGGCTATGAGAATGAATGGCTGTGTGATGGTGTTGGTGTGAGGCTGTGCCCGCAGCCCACAGCAGCAAGCTAACGTGTGTGACTATAATGGCGGGTCTGGCTATGTCTGTCTGTCCAGCCAGCCTAATAATCCCTCTTTGCCTCACTGCTATTTCAAGGATTGGAAGTAAAGCCCCCCTTCCCCTCAGACCCGAGGTACCGAGGGTCAGGCCTCCCTGTAGGGAGGAACAGACTGGTTCCTGAGCTAGAGACTGACCCCGGAGCCGCCCTGCAGCAGGGCTAAAGATTTCTCCCACTGCTCCTGCCCCTGCTGGACCCAGAGCCTCTTTGGATTGGGAAGACAGGAAGAGGGGTGGCTATAAGCCGAGCAGTCGACACCAAAAATAGCCATCTGCCCTCGGGAGGATCCTCTGGCACCACTCCCTCCTCCACTCCAGCCCAACCCGGCCCACTGACCTAGAGCCTCGGTAGGGCTCCTGTCTGACTCCACTTCCCCAACTCCTATCTGAGTATCCCTCTCAGATTCAAAGGAGGGACAGAGCAATGATGTCACTACAAATGATGACATCATAAAGAGCTCTGGCATCACAAGGAGTGACCCCAGGCCCCGGGCGGGGCTCCATCTGCTGGCAGCTCCCCAGCAGGGATGGCAGGGCTGGATAAGCCCTGTGTGGGGCCCTGCCTTATCTGTCCCCCACACATATGTGATAAGCCTCTTACCATGGGCTGGCCCAGGGAGCAGGTGGGGAGCAGGCCGGAAGAGGGGAAAGGCCAGCTGGGGCTGGCTGAACTCCAGGGAAGAAAGCCAGGGTCAGGGAGTCCTGGCAGAACCCCAGCAAGGGGAGATGCGGGGTCACTGTTGGGGGCAGTGTGGAGCTGTGGTTAGGGTCATGGATTCTGAAGCCAGGCTGCCTGCATTTGTATTCCAGGTCTCCACTTAATGGCTATGTAAGCAGACCTCAGCTTCCTCAATATTCCTCACCAGGAATACTATCAATATTAGCAGTGACTATCAACCACGGTATTGTTGTGGGGATTAAAGGATTTAATGTGTGTGAAATCGGCACAGAAGAGGGCCTGGCTCATAGAGAGCACTCATCCATCCTCCTTCCTAGATCTGATCTTCGCCGGGAGCTGTCCACCATACCCAACGGCATACTTGGGTGGCCGGGGCCTAGCTGGGGTTTCCAAAAACTGCCCAGCCCCCCACACATCCCACACCTACCCTGTCTGTACTCACCCTGAAACTCCCCAGGAATCCTGGCCTTTTCGGCATATTTTCTTCCAGCAATCTCCCCAGACACATTGTGGCCCTGGTGCCCTCTGGTGACAAAAGCCATACATGGCAGTTACAGCTGCATCCCCAGGACACATTGGGCCAGACAAGGTGCTGCCCCTTGTCTGATTATTTTATGCCATCACATCAGGTTTTCAAAGTAGGAATTACCTGCGTTTTCTGGAATGAGAGCTCAGGCAGGTTAAATAATTGGCTGCAGGTTACAGAACTAATAGGTGGTAGAACGTGAACTTGAATTCAGGTTGGCCTGTGTCCAAAACCTGAACTTGAATTCAGGTTGGCCTGTGTCCAAAAGCTATTATTTCACCCCATGCACAATGTACTTGGGGGGATGTGCTGGCATGGCCACAGGGCCCAGTAGATGTTTTACATTATGAGCCACTCTGCTAGTTTGAGTATACCTATGGTTGAGTGTATGGCCGTTGAGATTCTCCATCTGTGAATATAGAATAGTGTGACCTGGTGTGTTGGCTTTTTTGTGACTTTGGTGTGGCTGTGTGATTGTATTGTGTGAGTGCAGCCATGGTTGGGCTTGTGAGAGATTAGCCGTGGCGTGAGGGGCTGGCCTGACTCTGTGTGTGTGTGTGTGTGTGTGTGTGTCGGTATGACTGTGTTGTGGAGGGATGTATAGCCAGTGGGATTGTGTAGCGAAAGGTGACGAAGGGCCCTGAGTTCCCAGCGCCACTTGCCTTTTTGGTCCTAGGCCTGCATCTGCTCATCATGACTGCATGATGGATGGCTTCACATGCCGAACACACTCCCAGGGGACTACTCGGTTTCTCTTTCCCCCAGCCCCCCTTTTACTTTTCGAGGAAGTAAAGCAAATAGTACCACAGATGGAGTTGGTCTTCCTTTTTTCCATGGGATATTTGTGAAAGCATTTTACATGCCTTTGAGTGATATCTAAAAAGAAGTGTCATTTTTAAAAAGTCAATGTGACTATTCTAATTAATTTGAACATCAATTCTCAGGGTGTTGATTGCAGATCCCTGGGAATCTTTAAGACTCTTACAGGGGATCCACAAGGCAAAAGCTATTTTCCTAAGAATACTAAGTTGTTATTTGCCACTTTCACTTTGTCGATATTTGCACATGATGTAAGAGCAACAGTGGGTGAAACTGTTGGCACCTAAGCGTGAATCAAGGCACGGCACTCAACTGTACCAGTAGTCTTTGTATTCTTCTCCACCGTGGTGCGTGAATAGTAACAATAGGAGGAAAAAAAAAGGGCCAGTTTTGCCTTATTTATTTATTTATTTTTATTTTTGTGATGAAGTCTCACTTCATCACCTAGGCTTGAGTGCAGTGGCACAATCTAAGCTCGCTGCAACCTCCACTTCCTGGGTTCACGTGATTCTTCTGCCTCAGCCTCCTGAGTAGCTGAGATTACACGGGCGCACCAGCACGCCTGGCTAATTTTTGTATTTTTAGTAGAGACAAGATTTCACCATGTTGGCCAGGCTGGTCTTGAACTCCTGACCTCAAGTGATCCACCCACCTGGAACTCCCAAAGTGCTGGGATTACAGGATTGAGCCACCATGCCCAGCCTCAGTTTCTCTTTAAAAGTCCTTGGTGAAGCAGTAAAATTATTATTATTTTATTTTTAAAGGCATCTGTTTTGTTTGTTTTATACTTTAAGTTCTAAGGTACATGTGCACAACGTGCAGGTTTGTTACATACGCATACATGTGCCATGTTTGTTTGCTGCACCTATTAACTCGTCATTTACATTGAGTATTTCTTCTAATGCTATCCTTCCCCCAGATTCCACCTCACGACAGGCCCCGGTGTATGATGTTCCCCTCCCTGTGTCCAAGTGTTCTCATCGTTCAGTTCCCACCTATGAGTGAGAACATGCAGTGTTTGGTTTTCTGTCCTTGTGAAGCAGTAAAATCATTGTTTTGTGATTTATGTATCAGTAGTTACTTTATTTTTATTATGGATTGGTATTTCATTGTATAGACACATAATTTGCTTAAACATTTACATGTTGATGGACATTTAGGCTGTTTTCTGTTTCTTGGTATTATGAATAAAATTGATATGCACATTCACATGCAGATCTCTGTGTGGACGTATATTGTCATATCTCTTGAATTAATACTTTGGAGTGGGATTGTTGGAGCATATGATAGGTACTTTTATAAGAAATTTCCAGTTTCCCAAAGTTGCTGTACTATTTTGCATTCTGATCAGCAATTTTGAGACTTCTAGTTGCTCTACATTCTCACCAACTTATCAACCTTTTAAACTTTAGCAATTGTAATAAGTGTACCGTGGCATCTTATTGTGGTTTTAATATGCAATTTCCTGATGATTAATGATTTGAGCATCTTTTCATGGACTTTTTGCCATTCATATATCTTCCCTAGTGAAGTATTCATTCAAATCTTTTGACTTTTTTTTTAATTGAAATTATTTTTGAGACAGGGTCTCACTCTGTCCTTCAGGATGGAGTGCAGTGGCACAAGACTCACTGCAGCCTCGACCTCCTGGGTTCAAGCCATCCTCCCACCTTAGCCTCCTGAGTAGTTGGGACTACAGGCCTACACCACCATGCCTGGCTAATTTGTTTATTTTTTATAGAGACAAGGTCTTACTATGTCATCCAGGCAGGCCTTGAACTCCTGGGCTCAAGTGATCCTCCTACCTCCCAAAGTGCTGGGATTATAGGCATGAACCACCATGCCTGGCCTTTTTGACCATTTAAAAAATGAGTTTGCATTATTATCACTGAGTTGTAAGAGCACAATTATTTTTCACAGTCTGTTTCTTATCTTTTCATTTTCTTAACAGTGCCTTTTAAAGAACAGAAGCTTTTCATTTTGATAAAAATAAATTATTTTTTTCTTTTATAGTTTGTACATTTTGAGTCCTATCTAAGAAAATATTTACCCAACTCAGGACCCTCAAAGATTTCCCCTTATGTTTTTGTCTAGAAGTTTTATAACGGTAGCTATTACTTTAGTTCTATGATCCATTTTGCTTTATTAAACTATGCAAGGGAAGGAGTTGAGCTTTGTTTGTCTTTGTTCTTGTTTTGATTACAGATTTCCAATTGTTCCAGCACTGTTTGTTGAAAATACTGTCCTTTTTCTATTGAATTAACTTGTGATCTTTGTCAAAAGTCAATGGATCGTGAAGATGGAGGTGGTGGCTCATGCCTGTAATCCCCACGCTATGAGAGGCTGAGGCAGGAGGATCACTTGGGGCTAGTAGTTTGAGACCAGCTTGGGCAACATGGCAAGACCCCATCTCTACAAAAAATAAAAAAAGAAATCAGTGGACCATATATGTACAGATCTATTTTGGATTCACGCCTGTAAGATACTGAGCATCGGCTGGGCGCAATGGCTCACGCCTGTAATCCCAGCACTTTGGGAGGCTGAGGCGGGCAGATCACCTGAGCTCGGGAGTTTGAGACCAGCCTGACCAACATGGAGAAACCCCGTCTTTACTAAAAATACAAAATAGCTGGGCATGGAGGCGTATGCCTGTAATCCCAGCTACTCAGGAGGCTGAGGCAGGAGAATCACTTGAATCCGGCAGGTGGAGGTTGCAGTGAGCTGAGATTGAGCCATTGCACTCCAGCCTGGGCAACAAGAGTGAAACTCCGTCTCAAAAAAAATTAAATAAATAAAAGATACTGAACATTTTTTGATCTGTATGTCTTTATGTCGGTACCACACTGTACTGATTATTTTATATTGTCTAGAAGAAGCAGTAACATTATTAACTTTACTAAGTCTTAAGCCTTGATTATATGTCTTTGAAATATTTTGTGTGACAAAATGGGAAGTATGCTTATCTCAAGGAAAAGCACTTACGCAATTGAATTGTGAACTGAATGCATCAAACAACAGTTTTACTTAAAAGAACAAATGATAAACTATAGTTATCAGACTTGGGTCTTCGGCATACTTTTTCTCAAAAGTGAATCAAGTGAGCCTATCAATGCAAGGAGAAGAAAATTAGTGTTTGTTGCCAATGACAAAATTAGCGTCTTCAAGTGAAAATTAGGATTTGGAAAACTGATTATCTACTTACATTGAGTTTGAAAGCTTTCAATTCTAATGAGACCGGTGATAGCATTGATGAGTGTGCTTTTTAAAAAATATTGTATAATGAAATGTGTCAACATTCGGGAGATCTGCATAACTCGGTGAACCAATATTTTCCAAATGACCAATAAGTAATGTTACAAAACCATGCATGAGTAAAAGATCTATTCAAAGTGCAAGGCAAACCAGTGGAGCGTAACGTTAACAGAGTATGAAATGTCCACGTACTAACTAACCTTTAAGAAACTACCACCTCGAGTTTTGGTATGGAAGAAAGAACAATAGCCACAATTCACTGAAAAGGCTATTAAAATACTCCTCTCTTTCCCAACTACATATATCATGAAGCTGAGTTTTCATCACATATTTTAACCAAAGCAACCCATTGCAACAGATTGAATGCAGAAGCAGCTGAGAATCTAGCTGTCTTCTACAAGCCAGGCAGTAAAGAGATTTGCAAAAGTGTAAAACGGTGCCACTGTTCTCACTAACATTTTGGTTTTAGAAAATATACAGCTATCTGGCTGGCCGCAGTGTCTTATGTCTGTAATCCCAGCACTTTGGGAGGTAGAGACGGATGGATCACCTGAGGTCAGGAGTTCTAGACCAGCCTGGCCAACATGGTGAAACCCCGTCTCTACTAAAAATGCAAAAATTAGCCAGGCGTGGTGGCAGGTGCCTGTAATCCCTGCTACTCAGGAGGCTGAGACAGGAGAACTGCTTGAACCCAGGACGTGGAAGCTGTTGTAGTGAGCTGAGATTGCGCCATTGCACTCCAGCCTGGGTGACAAGAGCGAAACTGGGTCTAAAAAACAAAAACAAAAACGCAACAGAGAAAAGAAAATATACGCCAACTTTCATAGGTATATTTTCAGTTAAAATATAATAAAAATATAGTTATTTTGAATTAATATATATTTTAACTTTCAGTTTTAATTTTGAATCCATTTGAAGATCATGAGATAAAACCACTTAAAATTCTTTGGGTTCTTAATTTTTTTTTTTTTTTTTTTTTGAGACGGAGTCTTGCCCTGTCACCCAGGCTGGAGTACAGTGGTGTGATCTCGGCTCACTGCAACCTCCTCCTCCCGGGTTCAAGAGATTCTCCTGCCTTAGCCTCCTGAGTAGCTGGGATTACAGGCACCTGCCAGCATGCTCAGCTAATTTTTTGTATTTTTAGTAGAGACAGGGGTTTCACCATGTTGGCCAGGCTGGTCTTGAACTCCTGACCTCAGGTGATCCGCCCACCTCAGCCTCCCAAAGTGCTGAGATTACAGGCATGAGCCACCGCACTCGGCTTGGGTTCTTAATTATTTTTAAAAGTGTGAAGGGGTCCTGAGACCACAAAGTTTGAAAACCACTAAATTAGAGTTTTGCTTTAAAAAGAAAACTTGCCAGGTGCAGTGGCTCACGCCAGTAATCCCAGCAGTTTGGGAGGCTGAGGCGGGCAGATCATGAGGTCAGGAGATCGAGACCATCCTGGCTAACACGGTGAAACCTCATCTCTACTAAAAATACAAAAAATTAACTGGGTGTGGTGGCAGGCACCTGTAGTAGTTCCAGCTACTTGGGAGACTGAGGCAGGAGAATGGCATGAATCCAGGAGGCGGAGCTTGCAGTGAGCGAAGACTGTGCCACTGCACTCCAGCCTGGGTGACAGAGTGAGGCTCTGTCTCAAACAAAACAAAACAAAACAAAACAAAACAAAAACAACTTGATTTTTTTTTGCCCTAAACCTTTGTTCATATTAATGTACTATTAAAGAAAAAGTTTATTTTACCACTACATTACAGTGCATATGAGCTACTGGTTTTTAGCATGTTCCCAGCGTGGTTGGCAGCATCTCCCTCCCTTGTGGAAGGTGCATGTTGTCACCTGCTCCCCACACAGCCCCTGGTTTTCTCCCTTGGTGAGGGAGAAAAATGGATCTCTTCATAGTTACTGCCTCCAGGACATGTGACACCAGCTGGCCCGCCATGGGTTTGAAGCAATTTCTGGTGATCTTGGTTAATTCTCTCTCTTTCATTTCCAGGCACACTATTTATGTGCTTTATTATTTATTTACTATTTTTACTATTTTTACTATATTTACTATTTATTTATTTATTTATTTATTTATTTATAGATGATCTTGCTCTGTCACCCAGGCTGGAGTGCAGTGGTGTGATCACAGCTCACTGCTGCCTCAACTACTCAGACTCAAGTGATCCTCCCACCTCAGCCTTCCGAGTAGCATGTGCCACCATGACTGGCAGGTGCTAAAAACTCATTGTTTTTTGTTTTATTTTGGAGAGGCAGGGGTCTCACTGTGTTGCCCAGGCTGGTTTCAAACTCCTGGACTCAAGTGATCCACCCACCTTGGCCTCCCAAAGTGCTGGGATTACAGGTGTGAGCCACTGTGCCTGGCCCTCTAAGCACATTTGTAAAAAAGCTATTATTTTTGTGCACTTTCTGTGTTAAGAACTTTACGTTCATTTTCTCATTTAATCCTCACAATGACCCTGTGAGCTAGACACTGTTATTATTCTCATTTTATAGATAAGAAAACCCAACCTCAGAGAGATGAGGAGAAATCTGTTGGTATGTAACTGACCTTAAATCCTCTCTAATGCATAAAAATTAAAGGTGACCTTAAATCCCTTTCAATGTATACATTTAAAAAGGTGTTCATCTAAAGTTTAGTACTTTAACGATCGTTCTTAGTAACAAATTACCACTAAAGGGTTAGTAAAAAATTACCACACCAGCACAGATCCCACACCCTTAAAACTGAGCCCCAGCTGAGCCCTCACATTGGGCCCTTAACCCTGAGTCCTCTGAAGCCCCGTACAGTGTTCAGGACATGTGTGCCCCAAACCTGAACCCTTATACTGCTGTCTTGCCTAATTTTTTTCCAGAACCTTAATACTGGGTCTTCATACCCATTTTCCTCCCTGGAACCTCCCTGAGCCCTTACTTGAGGCAACATTCGTGAACTCTTCACCTGAGTCTACACATCTGACCTGCTGGTCAGCCCTGACACCAAAACCCTGCGCTTGAACCACTTAACTAGCAGCAGAGTCAGACTCTGAGACCATCCCTTTAGAGAGAGCAGCAGAGGAAGTGGGAGCTGGAGGGGAAGGGAGTGGTGGAGACAGGGGTGTGAGCTGGGAGAAGCAGGCATGGGGGAGAACCCTGGGCTGTCAGCCCCTAGCTATGGTCGGGAATGTTCCCAGACAGCACTGACCTTTCACCCCTACCCGCCTCGGTGGGAGGATTGACTGTCTCTGCCATCCTCGCTTCCGGGACCAGAAGCCACCTCTGGAGCAACTGGGGCATCCCCATGGCAACCATGCCAGGCCAGCTTGGGAGAGGCGTGGGGCTCCTTCACAGCCTTTTATTGCCCTAAAACATAGGTTGACTCTCTCATCCTGGCAACCCTCGGGGCCCTGCAGATCACAGTGTCCAGAGGGAAGGGGCCGTTGCTCCTAGCAGGTCTCCTGATTCAGGAAAAAGCGTTTCTCTGGTCTCGGCCAGATCCTTCCTGGGCCGATCTATTGGGAAGCCCAAGCTCTCTGTCCTGGGCCCCTAGCCCCTGTCAACACCCTTTGCATGCACTCTGGCCGGAGAGCAAGAGGGAGTGGAGACAGTCTGAACTCTTTCCTCTGCCCGCCTGGGTGTGGGCTTGGTGAGACACTGAGGGTGGGGCGTCGTTACCTGAGTCCATGGAGGGAGGGGTGACTATGGTGTGGTGGGGGCAAGGCCACTCAGGGCTTTGTGACCTAGACAGAGGCTTTATGTGGGTGATTAGCTGTCACGTTGGGTCTAAGCTCCTTACCCGCAGAACCTAGCTTTCCTGCCTGCCCCCAGGGCTAATCCAGAGGTGGGGGAGGGGCTAAAGACACTGGGCTCTGCCAGGGGCCTTGGTAGGTGCCAGTGACCTATTCTGTGTAACCAGCTGTGGCCTGTTCTCTGTGTATTTCTGCTTTTGTGGGTTTCTCTGGCTCTCCCTGCCTTTGCATATGTGCACCTGTGTTTCCTTCTGTCCCTCTCTCCATGTATGCCTTCTGTCCTGTGAACAGCTCTGTGACCCTGACTCTGGGAAGCTGTGGTTGTTGGCAGAAGGCAGGGACACCACTGGGTAATGGGTCACACAAGTCTCAATGACTCAACTGTGGTTGACAGAAAGTCTTGGGGACACCGATTTGTAGCTGGCGTGGGGTTTTAGATAACACAAGGTCCGGGTGGCAATGCATTTGGGATGACTCAGGGTTCAAGGGACATGGGGTTATTTGTAGTTGACACACAGATTAGGTGAGCCTGAGCTGTGGCGAATACGGAGTCATCTAGGTGACTCAGTGACAGCAATTAAAAAAGAACCGGAAGGAGGCAGAACAGTAGCCGTGGCTCTCCACCCACCCTGGAATGCATGGCTGTGTCTGGAGGCATTTTTGGTTGTAACACCTGAAGATGGGGGTGCTACTAGCATCTAGGGGGGCAGAGGCCAGGGATGCTGTTCACTATCCTACAGTGCACTGGAAACTCCCCAACAACAAAGAACCATCTGGCCTAATGGACTGTAGACTCTGAAGCCAACTACCCAGGGTGAAATCCCAGCTCTTACACTCTGCGGCCGTGGGCAAATCTCCTCATCTCTAACATGGGGTACCCGGGTAATACCCATCTAAGGTTGTTGGGATTACTGAGCTGATGCTTGTAAAGTGTTCAAAATGCCAGTGCTGTTTATTGGTTCAGAGCTGGAGAAAACAAGAGTAGACCTGGATGGAGGAACACATCCAGGTTCCCCTTTCTCATTCTGGCTTCTACTTCACACGGGTTTTTTCCATTGCCAAAAGCCACTTCAGTCTGACGTCATGTCAGTTTAATGGTATCAGAGGAAAAGAGAGAAGTGTTTCCCCATTTCGGTATAGTATTGCACTTATAAATTCCGAAGAACGGCTCTGCTTGGCTGAGCTTGGCCATGATCACCCATAGTTTCTCGAGGTGCCATGGTTGAGATCGGAGTCACCTGCCTGGAGGAAGGACAGGCTGTTTTCCGCAGGGGCGGGATGTTCTTACCAGAAGGACAGAAGGCAGTCGAGTGACCAGGATGACAGATGGTTATGCAAAGGTTGTCGGTGCACCTGGGTTGGCACAGCGTCTGATCCAGGAGGATTACAGGTGACCTCGTGTTGTGGGACTGCCCTGTGAGCTAATCTACCAACCTCTCAGAAACATTCAACTTTCTCGACACTTCCTCCTCCACCTGAAACCCTCTTCCCTAGCTTTTTGGACAGCACACTCCACCGACTGTCCTCCTTCTCCTCTGGCAGCACCTTCTGTCTCCTTTGCTGACTTCTCTTCTTGCCAAGCCTGGAAATGTCTGAGGCTCAATTCTGGACTCTCTTCTCCTTTTTCTCTGAACCTTCCTAGGATGCTCATCATGACATCATGTGGGGGACTTGACATCACCATGATGGGACTATTTACACCCTGGAATTTGGAAATGCTACAAATCAGTGTCTTATTTTTCTTGAAGAGACAATAGTTAAATGGTGGCCAGCACCCACTGTCCAACACCACTGTCACAAAAACT